AACCTTCATGTATACCTCTTTATGAAGATGCTCATGAAGAAAAGCATTATTGACATCTAATTGGTAGACTGTCCAGCCCTTCTTGGCAGCAAGGGAGAGAAGGCGTTTAATAGTAGTGAATTTAACTACAGGGAAAAAAGTCTCATTGTAGTAAATGCCCTCTTTTTGAGTATCCACTCTAATGACCAACCTAGAATTGTACCTTTTAATAGAGCCATCAGATTTCTGCTTGATTTTATACACCCATTTGAAAGGGATGGGCTTCTTGTTATGAGTAAGAGGTACTATGTCCCAAGTGTGATTAGCCGCAAAAGATTCAAATTTCTTTAGCATTGCCCATTTCCAAGCATGATGGGAATTAGCTTGTTGGTAAAACTGAGGCTCATGCAAGTAAAGTTCAGCAGTGGATAGCTTAGAATTAGGAGGTACAAAAGACTAAACATTAGAGCAGACATAATCAGAAAGATACGGAGGAGGATTGCTCACCCTAAGGGACTTCCTAAGAGGCTGTGGAGAACAAGGTGCACTAGAAGAAGGAAGATCAGGAAGATTATTGGATACAGGGGCAGAAAGTGGAGAAGGTGAGGAAGTGGAGACTACTAGGGTAGAAGATGTGGGAGAAAAGGAATCAGGGTGCAGGAAAGCAGGAGATTTTTTGGGTTGAACAATGCACCGATGTGTAAAGAAATTTTTTTGCCGGAAAAAGGGTCATTTCTGCGGCCCACTATGCAGTCGCAGAATCACTCTACGGACCATATAATGACCGCAGAGTGGATCATGAGAGGGCAAGTGTGGAGGAAAATTTGCGGCACATTATGCGGCCGCATATCAGTTATGCGGTGTATTATACGACCGCAAAACAGGTCTGCGGACCGCATAATGACTGCATACTAAGGCAGTCTTGCCCAGTTCCGGAGGCCATATTTCGCGGCTATTTTGCGAGCCCAGAAGCGTTTTGCGATTGCATTTGCGACCGCATAGTGTGTTTCGGGGCTTAATTTTTCTGGTTTTATAAACCCGGCCCCATTCTTATAAAATACTATTGGGGGTCATTTTGAAGGGTTTCATCT